ATACTGATAATTAATTCATAATTTTGTAAAGACTTTATTACATTGTGGACTCTAATAAGTAATAACGAGTGCACCATAAAAAATGAAAAGATATGTGCCATATTTCATAATTATTTGGGAGCCAAAACCAAGTAAGAAAATTAGAGAAAGAGTTTGGTGGTTAGGGTTAAAACTTGTTATGGTCCCGTGTGCATGGCAACAAACACAATCCTTATAGGGTTTGAGGATTAGATCATGTGGCAGAAGCTTCCATCACGGCTAACATCATTAGTTTCTGGATTGCAAAATGACAGGTCATCATGAGACCATTTTTGGTCCCCAAATAAATAAAATAAAATAAAAACTAGCTAGTGTCGTGCCCACAGCAGAAGAGAACAATCAATCACAGACATAAAATTAAAGCTCTCTTTATCTTATGTCATCCAAACACAGAAAGACTGACCCAGAAGAAGAACAAGAACTAAACCCTCTCTCTCTGTGTATCTGAAAACCAATTACTTTGGCGGAATACTACCCAAATTTGAAAGAGAGAAAGTGGCGCCGTATGGAGCTTTTAAACGGTATAAAACGACAGAATCACAAAAGCCACAACAAACGCCAATCCATCAAGGCATCAAATCCCTTTTTTCCCTTTTGGTTAGAGGGAAGGGGTGAGTATTAATTTGAACCAGGAACTGAAACTTAGGATGATGGCGCCTTTGTGTGTTTCAAAAAACTTTCCTGCAAACGGTTGGCTTGAGATAGGAGTTGTGGTGGATATCTTACAATGGTCACCCGGCATTAGAACTAGTACTTGATATGCAAGTTTTTCTCAAACCGAACTTTAATTCGCTTGTGAATAACTCAACTCATTTGCAGTCTTGTACCTAGGTACAAATTATACCAACAAAGCACAATTTTCTCTGCAACCAACTCTTACTACGCCCTAATTGCCCTACCTTAAAATTTTGAAATTACATCTCTCTCCTTTTCTCTCTCTTTTTTTTTTGTAATTTTAATTATTATATTTTAATAAACAAAACTCATTCAACAATACAAAAAAGTTTGCGAGTGTACATTCTAGTCGGGCACATATTAATCAATCACGTAAGGGTCCTCTACAAGTCTCAGTTACAAACCAAAGCTCCATACGATAGAATACCCGAGATCCTATATATGTTCTCTTAGCTATTCAGTATCCATAACTCTACCCAAAATAGTTTGGGATTTACTCATACCCACACAAAATTCGAGTAAATAAGTCAAAATCATATCCATGGTTAATAATTTTCTTTACAGTTTCAACCAATATGTTAACACTCACACATATATTGACATTACTTAAATGGAAAATGACAACTATAAATCGTTAGAATTAAGAAAATTAGTTGAAAATATTATACATGTATAATAAATATAAAATATGTTGAGAAAAATAATGTCTATTTATAGATAAAATATGCACATGTGTATAATTGGGGCGGGTTCGAGTTGGATAGTGAGAAAATCATGACCACCCATTACCCGTAATATTCAAATTCAGATTTTACCCATACTCGCTGAAAATCCTTCAAGTACGAAATTTACTTTACACAATTTAGTTGGTTTCAGACAAGTATCCACAATTATAGATATTTTTGTCACAATTTTTTGGAATCCTCTGTAAAACAAATGAGATAAGGTTCGTCGAATTTTCATTGGAGATTTGTAAAACATCACACTTGGAGATCTGCGTGATAACCCAAAAATCTAGTCGGCTTTCCATAAATTCTTACCACTTGTCTTCCCAAATAAGCAACGAGAAAAGAGAACCCTATCAACCCAGTCTCTAAAATAAAAAATGTGACAATATGATCACTTCGCACTAATGTACCCTCTCAATTTTAGACATTGAGGCCCCGTTTGGATTAAGGATTTCAAAACGCAGGAATTGAAACCCAAATCTCTCATTAAAAACCTGGGAGATTTTGGGTGTGGGATTTGGCCCAAATCTGCGTTTGACAATGGATTAGAGATTTAGCCCAACTTAGCCCAATTACACATTAACACCCTTCTTCTTTGTTCCTTCTTCTTCATCTCATCTCCGCCCCTTAATCTCCTTCGCCAGATCCACGACTATGAGAGAGAGAGAGAGAGAGAGAGAGAGAGATATGAGACGCTCAATAGAAGATCATCGAACGCTAGAAAAACCTAGAAACCAGATTTGGTTCCCGACGGGCCAAGTCCCCCAAAACAACCGATGCCTCTCCCTCTGACCTTGAGCTTCTTACCTCGCGGACTCTACATACCGTCGACCGACCCCTAAAATCGATTTCTAAGCCGAGGATTGACGACATTGACTTAAGCCCAGGAATCACCGGACCAATCAGAAGCGATGAAGAACTCAGGTTGGGGGCGGTGTGTATGTGAGGTGGATGGAGGGGGGGGGGGCTCGAGGAGGCGAGCTTTGATGGGAGTAGTGTTGCAATAGCCGACAGAGTCTTCACCACTTCACTCTCGGCGTCAGCGGCCCAAACCTCACCGCGACAGAAGTCGGAATCAGTCCCCACCAAGTAAGAGTGCCGACGAGATGAGAAGGAGACATAGCGAAGTGTCAATCGCAAAGAAGGAAAGGAACCTAGAACTTCGACGCAAAGCAACCCCGCCCCAGAATCACCTCTTTTTCACATAAACACAGAAATCTAATCATCTGGGTGACCTCGCGATCTGGGCATAGAAGAAGAATATGCAGAATCGACGACACAACCTGTAGATTCGACAACCCTTCTCAAGCGACACCAACGACGTTGTGGGGTTCTCAATTGGATTTTACTGGGTAAATTTCAGTTGCTTTCGCTGGAGGAGAGAAAGAAGGAGAATCGATCAAGAGCGACGCGCTGATATCATAGAGACTGTGGGTACAATAAGGGTGAAGAAAGAAGAAAGAAAAAACGGAGGGAGGGAGAGACAAAGTTTGGAAAAGAGCCACAAAAAATGAGTGATAGTGAAATAGTGGTCCCTATAAGTTATTTTAAAAATCTGCATTTGAGAGATTTTGAAATCTCTAATGCTCACAATCTCTCTACTAAACACATAATTGTATTAAAATCCTGTATAATGAGGGATTGTATTAAAATTTCTCACAAATCAATCACTACAAACCTAGATCCAAACGACCTCTAATAAAGATTTTGCCATGGGTTTTGTATAGTAGGGATGACAATCAAACCCATGGCCGCGTGTACCCAACCGCCCCCGACTCAATCAACGCTGGGAATCCCCTGATTGACTAGGTATGAGTTGGGTATGGGTAAAACCCGCAAAAAGTTTGATGGATATGAGACATGTATGGTTTTAGCATCCCCGCCACATACCCATACCCATATCCGACTCACCAAGAATATTTCTTCACATATAAAAAATACATTGATCAAATTGAAACGGTAATTTAAGACAATATATATAGTAGAAATGCAAATGAGTGGTCACCCAAATACAAATCTAATTCCTTTACGTCAATTCTCTCATCATTCGTTCACTTTTCCCTCTTGTTAACAAGATAATTATGTTAGTTAAGTATTATTTCATTGATATATTAGAGTTAGAAGCTAATTATTTGAAAAATATTATACTCCATCTTATTGATTAATAGATCTTTTAGGATCATACGATTTGAACCGTATTAAGAATGCTAGTATCTTTGTTGGCTTAATGATAGTAGGTTTGTTTAGCGTTATAATGCAAGATTTACATGTAAAGCATTATGTATAATGATGTTAAATGTACGGGGTGGGTATTACCCATGTGTACCCGAAACCCACGGATTTTAGGATGGGTTTGCAAAACCTACCTGTATTGATATGAGACGGGTACGAATTTGGATATTTGAAAGCGGAGATGAGCATGGTTTAAGTGGCTTAGGATAGGGTCAGTAACCAATGGTTACTGACCTATGAGTTACTAAATCTGGACATTTATATCTAAGTGGTCCAGAAAATTCAGATCTAAAGGTTGTCAATTAAAGACATTTTATTTTCCCTAGTTTTTTATCGGCTCTTATCTTCTTCGTTCTAACTCGGATTTCATTTTTTTTTTTGCATAGATGGAATGAGTTCGTTGTGCTCTACAAAATGAGATCCATTTTCAATATATTTCGAGAATTTTTTTTTACCAACTACATACCATATGGTAACTTCTTCGTTTTTAAGTCGTTTTTGAAAATGTTTGCTCAGAAGGAATGAATTCATCATAATCTATTGGATCTATAAATTTCTGGGTGAAAAATATATTGGATAAAAAATTATCATACTTTACCATTATGGTATGTGGGTGGTAACTTTTAGTAAACAATGATGAAAGTCGTAAATGATAGTTAGTATACTCCTACTATCATGTATTCAACCTTCTTATCATATTGGTATGTTTATACAATCATGGTACGCTTTCTTACCATATTGTATTAAATAGGAGCATTTAATCAATTTTTTTGTACTAAAAATATATCAAAGTGGATATCATTTTAAAGAGCACATTTAATCTGATCTATCTGTGCAAAAAAATTAAATTTCGACTTAAAATGAGAGAGAAATCGTTCATTAAATATTGAAAGGAAAAAGATAAAAGACTTTCCAGGAGAGAGAGAATACTGATGTCATGCTGATGTGGACATATTACTCATGGTTACTGACCATAAAGTTAATGACTTGATCCGTTCCTGATTTAAGTAAACCCCGCCCCAAATCGTCTCATTACCATTCGTCCTGAAATATATGTCGATTAAGAAATAAACAAGTAAACATAAATATAATAAATAAATCTATTTATTATTTTACACTTACATATAATATTTGTTTCTTTATTTATTGTCTACCCTGAAAAAAACAGTAAATCACTAAATCTTGAAATTGGCCTCCTTAAAATCTGAGAGAGAAGAACGGAACAGCAAGCAGCAGAAGCAGCAGCGCAGAAGATTTTGAAGAGACGATCACACACAGCTTTCTCCGCTGTCTCTTCTGTTTCTGTAAGTAATTTAATTGGATGCAAAAAATTGCAGAAATGGAAGAGTTTCCCTACTTTCCCTTTTCTTATCCTTCTCCTTCCATTTTCCCGCCTCACTGCTTCTCTCTCTTGTCATTAATGGCGGCCGCTGCTGCAACCGTCAATCGCGTGTTTGCTTGAGTGACCCTTCTCTGCTCCCTTCCTCTCTCTCTCTCTCTCTCTCTCTCTCTCTCTCTCTCTCGATTTGCGTTTCACCTTCCAAAATCGGTTTCCGGGTCAGCTCATTGTCATTTCATCGTGGAGCTGGGAGCTCAGCTCACTGTGATTTTTTGTGGGAAACTGGAAATCCTTGCTGGTTGTTTGGTTGCCGAGAAAATTGAGTGAAAGATCAGAGAAGAAGTAATAGTAACCGAGTGTTTGGTTCTTAGTTCTTACACCGCAAAGAGTAATTTCCTCCTTTCCCCCTCTCTCTCATGATTTTTTAAAAGGGGGAATTGGGTGAGCCTTAGCTGGATTATTCTGCCTCCCCAACCCCTAATTTAATTTGCAGCTTCCATTGACCTGCTAGTTCGTGCATTTGTTTGTTGTTATTTTTCCTGCACTTTCCCGTCAACCAAACAGGACAAGGGGAAGGAAACTTCTCTCGTTCGCTGTTTTTCAAATTTCTTCCCCCAAATCCTCATTCTCGGTGTTCTTTTGTTTCCCTTTTCAACAGGGAGGCTACTGTTGCTCCAGCCAGCCAATCGACGGGAGATTTCAGGCTGAAGGGATAAAAGGCTTTTGTTAGGTTGTGGTAAGGGGAAGCAAGGAAAGATTCTCCCCAGTCAAATCTGCCCGAAAACATTTGCAGGAGCTCTGAAATTTGGGACTAGGGGTGGTTTGATTGGTTTCTCCTGTTTGGCAGAGGAGCTTTCTCAGATCCATCTGCATTACCAATCTGGGATCTACCAGTACCATTACCCTTAGCTTTTCTTCTGTTTTGGTTTTCACCACCTTATACTAAAAAAGCAACTGTTTCTTTCACCTCGTTTGACCCATTCGAGCTTTGTGGCAGATAGATGGATAGATAAGCCAGAGGGGCAACTCTTGTCTTCTTCTTGTCATTTCCCCTCCTTTCAAACACTGTCGATTGATGCTCTTTTCCCACCTCCCCACTTCTTCATCTTTTACCCACGGTTCTTTAGCTTTCAAAAGGGCTGTGTTTGTTTCTTCAGCAGGCCTGATATGAAAGGTGTGGTTTTCTTGTCTTGTGGTGCATGTTAATAATGGAGATACTTTTTGGATGGGGGCTCATTCTCATATATAATTTCTTGTTCCTTCCTTGGGTTTCCAGGGTTTGATGGTCTTTGAGAAGTTCAACTCTTAGAGAAGAAGGCCGCTGTATTATACAATTTTTGTTGTGGTTGCAAGGGATGACGACCAGAGACCAGAAGAGAGGGAAAGTAGAGAAAGCTGGGGGATCAGAAGTGGCCGAGAAGGTTGTGGTTGCAGTGAAGGCTTCCAAGGAGATTCCTAAGACTGCTCTGGTTTGGGCTTTGACTCATGTTGTTCAGCCTGGTGACTGCATTACTCTCCTTGTCGTTGTTCCATCCCCAACTTCAGGTAGCTCTTTATGATTGATGGCCACAGGAGCTTTCGATGTGCTTATTTGTGTTCCAAGCTGAGAGTAAACATTATGTCTTTTTATCAGGTCGCAAGCTATGGGGTTTCCCAAGATTTGCTGGGGATTGTGCTAGTGGTCATAAGAAGTCTCATCACCCGGGGGCAACCTCCGAGCAAAGGGGCGACATTACCGATTCATGCTCGCAGATGATCCTTCAGCTCCATGATGTTTATGATCCTAACAAGGTGAGACAATTGGAGAACGTACGTCTTTTGCTTCTTGTTAGGTAACATTTGGTGCTGAATCGTTACCTTTTCTTGTCAGATCAATGTGAAGATAAAGATTGTATCTGGTTCCCCTTGTGGAGCTGTAGCTGTGGAGACCAAGAAAGCTCAGGCCAATTGGGTTGTCCTGGACAAGTAAATTATTGCTTCTGTCATTCTTCCATTGGTTTGTTGTTCTCTCTCCCACAGTTCATTATATTGAACCGAATTTAATCTTTATGATTGATTGCAGACATCTCAAGCACGAGGAGAAGCGATGCATGGAAGAACTACAATGTAATATAGTGGTGATGAAGCGATCCCAGCCGAAAGTGCTCCGCTTGAATTTGATAGGATCAGCCAAGGATGCTGCTGAAATCACTGGTCCTTCACCTTCTAAAACGGACTCAGCTTCCGACAATCATATAAAAAATGATAATAGCGGCTCTTCTCCACATTCAATTCCCGGTCCAGTCGTGACTTCAACAAGTAGCCCAGAGCTGGGGACGCCATTCACAGCCACCGAAGCTGGAACATCTTCCGTATCAAGCGATCCAGGAACTTCACCATTTTTTGTTTCAGAATGTAATGCGGACTTGGGGAAGAAAGAGGAGGAATCCTCGGCTGGTAAGGAGCACAGAGATCTTGACGACTCCGGGTCAGAGACTGACTGCGACCAGTTGTCCACAGCCTCTGCAAGTACTCGGTTCGAGCCATGGATAGGCGAGTTTGTCACTTCTCACATGCACTCCTCACGACGCGTGGAAAAGAAACGTTCTCATCATCTGAATTCTGCGAGAGCTCAAGCATCAACAGCGACTAAATCACCCTCCTTCGCTAGGGCCGATTCGGACTTGGGTGGTGACATCAGAGAAGCAGTATCATTATCGAGAAATGCACCTTCTGGCCCGCCCCCTTTGTGCTCGATATGTCAGCACAAAGCTCCAGTTTTTGGAAAGCCCCCTCGGTGGTTTAGTTATGCTGAACTGGAGCTTGCTACTGGTGGGTTTTCGCAAGCTAATTTCTTGGCAGAAGGTGGGTTCGGGTCAGTGCATAGAGGCGTCCTGCCAGATGGGCAAGCAGTTGCTGTGAAGCAGCATAAATTGGCTAGTACTCAGGGGGATCTCGAGTTTTGCTCCGAAGTGGAAGTTCTTAGTTGTGCTCAGCATCGCAATGTGGTTATGCTGATTGGATTCTGTATTGAAGATAAAAGAAGGTTGCTAGTTTATGAGTATATTTGCAATGGGTCGTTGGATTCTCATTTATACGGTACACCTTTCTCTTCTTGCTACATTCTATTATTCACGCGTGGTGATTTGTCGGTATTTGTATTTTTGGCGGTAAATACTTTGGTGGCTGAATTTTCTGTTATGTTTGGCCAGGGCATCAACGTGAGCCGCTAGAATGGTCTGCTCGTCAGAAGATCGCGGTAGGTGCTGCTCGTGGGCTTAGGTATCTTCACGAAGAGTGCAGAGTTGGTTGCATTGTCCATCGTGATATGCGGCCTAACAACATCCTCATAACCCATGATTTTGAACCACTGGTAAGCACAGCAGCTTTAATCCCCATCTCGAAATTTTTATCAGTTGAATTATATATTTGATACAGTTTTGATTCTGTTATAGCATTTGACTGGATACAGAATTTTGACACTGTCCGATGATCTCGGTTCAACTTATTTTTGGTTCAGGTTGGAGATTTTGGCCTGGCTAGGTGGCAGCCTGATGGAGATCTTGGTGTGGAAACCAGAGTAATTGGAACATTCGGGTAAATATCCAATTACTCGCTTTAGTACATCCACATTCCATTTTCATCTATACCACTTCATAGTCTTATAAACATTTCTTGATCTACATTGATGCAGATATTTGGCTCCAGAATATGCCCAAAGCGGCCAGATCACAGAGAAAGCTGATGTGTACTCTTTCGGTGTGGTGTTGGTAGAACTCGTAACAGGACGCAAGGCAGTGGATCTCAACCGGCCAAAAGGCCAACAGTGTCTCGCCGAATGGGTCTGCACTATATCTTCAACTCAATCCGTTATCCTTTTTCAAATTCTCTTTCTAAATGCTCATTTCCGTTACTTTTGCTTTCAAAAAATAGGCACGGCCACTGCTGGAAGAATACGCAGTTGATGAACTGATTGACCCTCAACTGGAGAATCGGTACTCCGAGCAGGAAGTCTACTGCATGCTTCACGCTGCAGCTTTGTGCATACGCCGCGATCCTCAATCTAGGCCTCGTATGTCACAGGTGAGAAATTGATACCACATCCTTGTTAGTCAAATGGGCCGACCGGTTAGCTAAAAGGGAGAAACTGATAACTGATTGTGTCATCAAAATGGTTTACTGGGGGCTTCAACTAGAACCAGTTAGCCATCCTTCCAATCTTTTGCGTAGCATAACTAATACGTTCTCTTCTGTGGAAAAAGGTTCTTCGAGTACTAGAAGGCGACATGGTGATGGACATGAACTACATGTCGACGCCCGGTTATGATGTCGGCAATCGGAGTGGAAGGATGTATGAAGAACAGCAGCAGCAGCATTACAGCGGGCTGATAGGGAACGAAGCATTGGAAGGGTTCAACGCAAAGGTCTCTCTTGATACAGTAAGGCCTAGCTTTCAAGAAAGGGAAAAAGCCAGAAGAGTTCAATATGGAGATGGCTCGTAGAAAGAAAGAAGAAAAATGTCAGCTTTCATAGCTCTAAAACAAATCTATTTACGGTATGGTAAAAAAAAACACATGTCTCTCCTCTTCTGTTGCTCCTCCTTTCCATTTTGGGTCTATTGTTTTTTCTTTTACCACTGCTTGCCTGCTTAGTGAATTTTTGTCCAATGCCATGTGGATTTTGTATAGCCGGAAGGAGAAGTAGGAGGAGAGTTAAGCTGCTAATGGCTGACATTCTTGTGTAATTCTTTTGGTGGTAAATTGATAGAGAGGTAAAAGAAGATGAAATGTGGTTTCTTCAAATTTGAATTTCGAATTACTGATAAGGTTGGTTATGGATGAAAGTAGAGTATTCAATCATGATTGGATGACAAAGGAAATCAGGCTCTGATGTTGAGAAGAGAAGAGGGTAAATTTTGTTTCTTTGTGGTGGTGTCGTGAGTTGTTCATTTTTGTCTGTGTTGCTGTGTGATCGGTTTTGAACTACCAAGGAAGGGGAAAAAACATAGAGACAAACCTGTTGTTTTCTGTTCTCTTGTTCTTAGCGGACAGCCCCCTTGGTTCTGTTCTCGTGTTGTTTTGTCCTCCTCTACCTTGTTGCAAGCATGTTTGTACGATTAGATCCTGTTATGATACTGATTACAACCAAATTCAGCTGCGGGGCAATGTATGAGAATCGTTTGGTTCCGCCTCATTTTGTGTGTCCATAAGATAAGCATTCCAGCTATACGTGCTGGCGTCAAATGAGCCAAATTGCTCGCGAGCCAGCTCGACTTAGTGACTTGTTGTGGTTAATTTTTTGAGCTTGCTTGTTTTGAACTCATAAGTAGTCTCGCAATGTGACTAATTAGCTCGACTAGTAGCTTATGAGTGAATAGACCTATAGCTTATGAGTTGATTTGTAAAATAGACATATAGATAGCTCGTGTTGTTAGATTATATCTCCCACTACATGATTTGTAAGGTTGAGTACGTCAACAAATATACCTCACATATAGTGAGAAATTATGAATTGTATATTGCTTGGATACTAATTACGTTTTAATAGCATGATATGACACGTTACAATTTATTAACTAAGTAATATGAAATCTGAGCTCAAGTCATGCTCAGTAATTGATTGGTAAGTCAAGTTCAAGCCGAGCTCAAGTCAAACACGAGCCAAGCTTCCAATGAAGCAAGCTAAAGCTCGAATTCGACTCGTGCATTAACGGGCTGAGTTTGAATTAAGCATACTGGATTCGCCCCTACTTATTTGTAACCCTATTTATCATAGCCAATGTCTTATCTGGCATGGCTGACGATGAGTTTTATGCCTGAAGGTTTAGGTTTCTGCATTTATGACTTTCCGAGAAGATATTTTCTGTTATACGTAGTGATGAAAAGGAAACCCTAGGGTGACTGTGACATGACCTGTCAAGTGGGATGGAGACCACATACGAAAAGAAAGAAGAACAAACCCCAAAGCTGCAAACTTGGTTGTATGCAGTGCCCTGTATTTTGGGCAACTTTAATGAACTGCTTTCTTCAGTTTGGGTTTGGGTTTCAGACTTGTCTGGTTCCTCTGCTTGTGTTTGTCTGCTGTCTCTGGGCCTGGCTGAAACCAGAAAACCTCGTTATTCGCGCACGAGAGAGAGGGTGGTTCTAGAAATGTTGATGGATGCGTTCAGATTGGAAGCCAAGCTGAATCTCATACAAAGAAAGAGGGTTTGAGACAAGAACCAGAAGAAGGGCAGATCTTGGGGGAAAGAAATTGATAGACGAAGATAGGGAAACGAACGAGAGGACTCGATTCTTCCTTAGTCACTCCTTAATCTAAAGACAAACGTACATATTATTATTATTACTAGGAAATTGGCCCGCGCTTTGCGGCGGAACCATATTTTTATAATTGATGATAAAACAACATAATTAGTTATGGATAGTAGATACACTTGCAAGCTAGTATAAAAGCTTTTATAATTAAGTACATAGTTTTCCATAATTTCTTACGTTTGTGAAATATCTAACATACCATTCGGATAAAATAGTCTACCACAATTGTCCTGAAGGAGTTTGAGACATAAACTTCCCCAACAAAAACAAAAAGAAGCTGGATATGCACATTTCATTTGTATGGAACAATCACTCTCTCTACCATTCAGTAGTCCTTCCTCCAATTCAACTTGACAGAAAATATAATTTCCAAACCAAAACACATTTTCCCCTTTGCATCCATTCACGACTTGATCTCAATCTCTCTTCAAATCCCGCTGAGGAATAGAGAGAGCTTGGATTGACCTGCAATTTCCCAATACAACAAAAGGCTAAGTTAGGTTTGTAAGAGAATCTTTCAGAGCTAGTAGTAATTATGTTTGCGGGGAGAATCCTGATGTTGGAACTCTTAAATCGTAATGCCTCCCTCTCCTGTAAAAGGAAGAGTCTAAAGTGGGTCTTATAAGTTATAATGAACTGAACTAATGCTATAGAACTAAACACGATGTGATTATAGAGAACCCCATGACATAATCAACACTGTTCTCCAGCTTCTAGCCACCACACTTACAAACCCACAGTAGCAATGAATGAATTTTTTTTTTATGGGAAGCAATGAACGATTTAAATGATCAACATGACCTTCATTAAAACCTTGTAAGAATCAGCTGATATAGCTCAACACTGCAAATTAAATTGTGAAGGGTAAATTTGCATCGATATGTCATTCATTAGTTCTTCTCACGAGTCACGTCCTACCATTCTATGGTAAAGCGGCATGTGACCAAATGACATGAGTGTGTTAGCATATTGACCCCGGGTAACTTACAGTGTTGTCATTAAATATCCCAAGATTATATTCAATGACCATTCCTACAGATGTGTATCAACTGGAAACATGAGAGATGCATTCAAGCTTAGTTTCATCGGCAAATTCTTTACATGTTCAATAATCAGTATACTTCACTCTAAATATATGAGAGCACTTAAGAAAGTGAAAATTGATGCTCCACAAATGATCGAAGCTCATACTAACAAAGAGTTTTGTTTTATGTTTCTTCCTCTCCATCTGTATGATTAACGGAAGCAGGGGAAATACAATAAAATCTATTTCTTCTATTGAATAAGAGAGATGAAATTTGAGGTTATGTAAAGCTTGATTAAAAGCAATCACCAAAAAAAACTTGCAAAGTACAATTGCGCTGGAGAGCAGCTCACACACATTCACAGGTGCCAAATTTCACCATGCAAGCATTTCAGTCATACCTGCAAGTAGCCCTCTCCTGAATGAATCCAGTCATTCAAATCAAGTCCCTCCGTCCTACGCAGCTTGAACTTCCTTCCTAATGCCATAACCTTCTTACAGAACCAAACTACATAAAAATTAGGCAGTCTAATGAACTCCCAAATGTTCAACCGATAAATATGATCGCTCAGGCTATCCATAGGTCACGATAATAGTTCATGGCATTATTTTCATCATGCCTACTACAGTCTTCAGCAGCTTCCTAAATCTTTTATCTCTAAGGAATTCAGACCTTGGTAGTTCTGTTTCTCATTCCAATGACAACCAATGTTAAAATTAAGCAAGTTCCTTATGCTGTGGACACAATCAGAATAGAGTGATCACCTAATGCACATACGCATGCTCCCTTCCATAAATTCACTACACAACGGATCTGCTTACCAGATGCAAAGATTGCAGAGATGTAGCAAATCTCAACCAAAACTATTCAAAGCATAGATGGGACAAATGCAGACCCCAAATTCGTCTCTTTAAGGACGCCACTTTATTAACTGGGGACCAATAGATGGTTATGAGAGAATCATCCATTCAAAGAAGACAATCTATGGCAGAAATTTCTCAAGCAATGAAGAAACACTAACATGCAGCAAGTTAGGGAAGGAGAGCTTACCGAGCGAGCTCATGGATCAATGAAAATGTGGGATCATCCCGGCTACACTTTCTGAGGCCAAATTTGGGTATCACACCATCTCTACTCTAGGTTAACAACGGATGCCAACAGCAGTTTGAAGCTGTTGAATTCAACAATTGACGGCGTCCACGGTGACGTGTGAGGAGTGGCGACTGGAGAACGGTCGACTTACATCGACGACGACGGTTTTAACAACTGAGCGTGGCAAACGGAGACCACGGAGGAACGAAATCGAAGTTGCCCAGTTTCGAATTCCCCTCCCTCGATGAAGCATTGTAGATGGGATCCAGAATAGCCTGGAATGCCACTGAGCAGGGAGAAGGAGTGTCCCAAACTCGGGCAGCGGCCAGGGAAACGGGCTGGGTAATTGGGGAAAGCGGGTGCGAAACCGTCATGGTCGAGAGACGAAACGGCGAGAAGGGGGGGATCATCGACTAATGGAAAACGCAAACTTGGGCAGCCGCCAGTCGGACGACGCAGGGAGATTGGAGAAGAAGACCTGGAAAGGTGCACGAAGTCCGGGGTTGTGATTCGACGGCTGAGATCAAGAAAGTGCATGAACCGAAGGTGATCCGCTTGGGCTGTAGGATACGTACGGTACACTTGCATGCAGCCCACTGGACCCCTTAAGCAATTAGGGGCTATTTATTATCTAATTATTATTATTATTATTATTATTATTATTATTGTTACTAGCTTTTTAGCCCGCGCTTCACGGCGGGTACCTTTACATTTGATACATGTGTGAATATTTTAGAATGTTTTAGATAACGTATCGACCGAACGAGTTTAAACTACCAGAAATCGAGTCCTCTGTTGAGGCAATGTTTGCGGTATAAGCCGATTGAATACCAGTTAAACCACAATTTAGGTATAAAATACCTTACCGACCTTTTCAGTACGAATTTACAATCATTGATATTTTAGGAAACTTTATCCTTAGTATCAATAAGGGCATAACTATAAGAAAATGAAACACATGGATGCATTACCATAAGGCCATTTCCATATCCAATCATAGAACCTTCCATCCTGGAACTAATAAGTTCCCAATTACAAAGACAGTCCAGATAATAGCTCTCTGATTGATTCCTACTCTCCTAGTAGAGTTTTGAATTCATTAATACCAAATCCCCCATGCCCATGGTTGTCGAAAATCAAAAAATCCACAGAATATGTAAATCATTCTATATTTTTAATGTGCAAAAGCATTTGAATAAGAAAGAAACAGGGAATGATGGAACATGGTATGAAACACTCTAGACGACATAGATCAAACAGGGAATAATTCGGTTTTGCAAACACTGGGGGAAGGGAGAGACAGTAATTCGTTGAGCAAAATGGAGTCGAAGTTCTCGTTCTGGTAACATTGATCTATGAACGATATAATCTACACAAAAGTCGAGTTAATTCAAAGAAATAGAGGGTTGTGCTTGAGCATTCATAATCGGAACCACTTGAATAACAAAGCAACACACTGAAAAGCTATAAATCATATAGGTTTCTCCAATTGGTAACGGGAAAGAACCCACTCGACCTGCAAAAACGTAATGATTAAAATGCTTGAAACCACTTGAACTAAACAAAGAATTGCAACTCATTAAGGGGTTTTTGTTTATTACCCAAAGTGGAAGGCGTCATAAGTATTGATTGCCATGCTTTGCTCGAGGGCAGCCATTAGATTTTTCTCATTTACGTATTTATCAAATTCAAGCAGAGATCTATAGTATGGTAGCAACCCGTAGTAGTGGGCTGGATTGTTAATATGGGACCATTATTATTATTGTTATGTTATGGATTTAGGCTTCTTCGGTTAGTAATTAGTGTCGGATAGGGCCTAGTACGTAATCCGCGGGAAGTTGGGCTTCATAAGGGTGGCGGATTAAGGGTAGGGGCCGAGTGGCCTAGTCGGGTATTAGGGTTTCTACTCTATAAATATGTACTAGTTTTTTGGCCCGCGCTTCGCAGCGGTGAGGAATTCATTATATTTCAAACTTCATCTAGTTCATTATGATGAGTTCAATAAGTTTTATTTGGTGTCTTAATAATTAGAGAATACTTATAT